CCCTATAGAATAACATGGGTTTAGGGCTTATTGGAGTTATTGGAAAATAGTATTTCAAAGGTAGGCCAGAGTCAGATCATGAAGGACTTTGGATTATAACTTAAGAATTTCAAGTGTTATCTAAAGACAGTGAAGGGACATTGAAGGATTTTGAATAAAGAAGTAGCTTGATCAAAACTATCCCTAAGGAAAATTAATATAAGGGTAATGCGTGTGATGAACTGCAGAGGGAAGAGACTTGAGGCAGGCAAACTAATTAGGAAGCTGTTGGTGTAATCCACAAAGGCAGCCATAGGGCTAGATGAGAGTACTGCAGTGGGAGTGGAGAGGAGTAAATGAGAGAGAGCTATGTGAAAGACTAGCAATTGGAGAGGAACAGGGAAAGGGAGGGATCATAAAGGGCTTCATACTTTTCAATATAAATAAACAAAAGGGTGAGTATCATTAACATATATAGCAAATAGAAGAGGTAAAATGACAAGTTTGACATGGTCAAAATGGAGCTGTAAATCACAGCTGACTTTTCCGCACAAATTGACAGGCTGATCCTAAAATTTATATGGAAATTCAACCCAGAATAGCTAAAACAATATAGAAAAGGAAGGACAAAGTTGGAACACTCATACTTGCTAACTTCAACTCACTGTAAAGCTACAGTAATCAAGACAGTATGGTGCTGGCATAAGGAGAGACATATAGAACAATAGCACAGGGTTCAGTGACCGGAAATAAATCCCCACATTTACAGTTAACTGATTATACAAAGGGGCCAAGATCATTCAGTGCGGACAGTATTTTCAACAAATGATGCTGGGACAACTGGATACCAACATTCAAAAGAACAAAGTTAGACCCTTGTATCACGCAATATACAAATTTAACACAGTATATGAGCTAAAAACTATAAAATTCTTAGAATAAAATACAGATGTAAATCTCTATGACTTCGGACTAAGTAATGGTCTCCTAAATATGACACAAAAAACACAAGCAACAAAAGAAAAAAGTAGATAAGATGGACTTTATCAAAATTAAAAACTTGTGCTTCAAAGAACATTATCAACAAAGTATAAAAATAACCCACAGAATGAGAATGAATACTTGCAAACCACTGATTTAATCAGGGACTTGTATCTAGAATGTACTAAGAACTCTTACAACTTAATATTAAAAGGACGCCCCAATGGGCTGAAAATCGACATTCCTGTAAATAAGATACACAAATGACCACTAAGTACATGCCCTGTAAGACAGCAGCTTTAAGAGAGCAGTAAGGTCAGAAAGTGGACTACAAGAAGTGTATCTAGCTGGCCAGGATAACTTTGGAAGGGATGAGAAGGGGAATGGAAGATGTGCAGTTTTTAACCTAAAGGAAGTGAATTTCCAGGAAGGCAGAGACAGATGTAAAAAAAGGGCTCAGAGGGGAGTCATGGCCCTTAAGGAAATGGGAAAGAGGATCTAGGGCCTAGGTGGAGAAATTAACCTGTGGAGGAAAAAAGAATATGAAGGAGGACATTTTCAGGTAGAGAAAAGAGGTGGAAGGAGACACTCATTACACATAGCTTTAACCATTTCAGTCAAGCATGAAGCAGACGAACTTTGATCTAGAAAGGTATACCTCAAACTCTTAATAAGCAGTTACCTCTGTAGAGGGAGTAGAGATGGGGAGAAGAGGAAATTTTCACTTTTATTTGATGGACTTTTGTGTTTAATTTTTATATCAAGACTGTTGTCTCATATGATTTTTTTAAAAAAAACTTACATGCTGGAAGACATGTAATTCTTTATCAATTGGAGGTAAAGTAAAGGATTGCCATGCTTCAGGGAGGTAGTGGCCCATATAAATCAATGAATGTTTATGGAATTTATTGATTTGGAATAGTAAGCATAAATTGTAGTAAAAGCAATTAATTTGATCTCTGCATTGTTCTCCAACAGAACAGAGCAGAAAATTTTGACAGTGTAGTTTATATAAGGGTCCAGAATTGATAAGGCAAAAGTTGCAAAATTGTGAGAGAAATAAAGATGTGAGGCTAAGTTTTCTAAATGTCTAACCCTGAAGGGCTCACCAAATATGTTACCAGGTTTGGGGTGACTGGAATCTCCTTCTAGAGGTATTTTCTAGGTTCTTTCACTCCTCAACAAAGAATTGATCATGAAAAGCATAAAAGGCAGCAAGGTTTTACATTTTATTAAAGTTAGGGAAAGAGATGTATGTGCTCTGCAAGGCAAGTTTCAGCCAAGTAAACATAGCAAAAGAAGTACACTCTACAACTCCCCTGTTTGTGGACATCACCATCTCCTGTGAGGAACCCCAGGTGACCCTGGACACCATGTGTTTTTATTTCTTCCATCCAGCTATGAGCCACAACACCTCAAGGTAGTTGGAGAGAAATAATCCCCAATAGGTAGGGCTTATAGCCCCTTTCAGCAGAAGGTAGCTATATGAGGACCGAGACCTTCTCTCCTCCTGCACCCATACAGAATTAGAGAGAAATGTTTCTCTCAGGGGGAAATGAGGGAAGAGATTAGGGTATCCCAGAGTGTATGAGAAAATGGGCATGACCCGTTAATTGCAAGGTTCCAGCACACATATGCAGAACAGTTCCCAAGGCCCTGCACATGGACTTCCCAAGGCCCTGCACATGGACTTCTCGCAAGAACACTAGCACATTTTTGATACGACAGCCTAGACCTGACATCAGCCTGAAGAGTGGGAGAGACAAAAGGACAGTCACCATTGAGCTCTCTGCTACTGTGTTCTTTCCTAGTAGTCTGCTCTCACCATGTAGAGGGCTACTTTTTTTTCCTACTTTTACTTGACCCTGGATGTACCAGCGTTTTGTGGGGTTTTTGTTTGGTTGGTGGTGTTTTACCTATTTACCTGGGTTTTTCCAGTTTGGGGCTATTACAAGTAAAGCTGCTATGCAATTCATGTGTAAGTTCCTACATAAAAGTGCCTTAATTTCTTTGGAATAAACTGCCCAAAAGTGCAGTTGCTGGCTCGGATGACAAGTCTATTTTTACTTTTGACAAGAACTGCTAAACAATTTTCCAGAGTAGCTATACCATTTTACCTTCCTACCAGCAAGATATGTGTGATCAAGTTTCCCTGCATCCTCACTGGGATTTATTATCACTGTTTTTTTTTTTTTTATTTTAGCTGTCCTGAGAGTTGGCTCGTTGTAATACTTCTCCTCTTTAAGGACCTGAGTTGAGAGTTACCTCTGTAGAGCCTTGTCTAACATCCTCTGGAAAAGTTAATTACTCTCTCTTCTGTGCCAACTCTGATGTGTCATTTATCATTGCATTTTAATTATTTATTGCCACGGTCTGTGGCTTCCACTCTATTCTGAGCTACATGAAGATAGGGGTTATGCCAGATTTTTTTGGATTCTTGCAGCATCTGGTTCAATTTCTCATTGGGCGCACAGTGGACACTACCCAAATGTGTGCAAAATGAACGAAAAGAACTTTAGTCTTGCTTGACTTCCCTCCCCATCCACTAGAAACACTTTTAGAACAGAAATCATGCCTTCCTCTATGTCTCCCCTTAGTGGCTAATAAGGTATTCTATAGGTGTAGATGCTTAACAAATGTCATGGAAACTATTTGGGTGACTTATCTTCCCTCTTAATCCAGGAGATAAGCACATTAAAGAGAAAATAGGCCCAAGTATTCTTGTATTAAGTATTATCTGTCATAATTTTATAATATTCTTATCATCGCCACAGTTGCTCAATATTTGTGTAGGTGAGAAATCAAAACAAAACAGTCCTTTGAATTGAAGAACGCCTCTGACTGAGCATTGTTCAATAGTTTCAGTACATTGGCTACCTATGAAGTGAGGAGGACAGCATTTTATATTCCTGAATTCCTTTTGCCAATTCAGAAAAGATCTGGGGTTTTTCTGGTTTTCCAGCACTGGTATAATTTGACATGTTGATTATGAAAGGGTCATTAACCTCAACATTTTTTATCACTCTTTGACTATGTATTTTCTCAACTCTGAAATCTGTTAATTTGCACTTGTTTATATGTCTCTGTAAGAGTTACTCAGGCCCTTGAGGACTGGTGTATGTTTTGTCTGGAAAGTAGGTTGTAAGTCCCTTGAGAGCAAGGGCCTTATAACTCCTAGGAATGCATTCTGGGCATTGTCAGTGTTCAATTAATAATAATATTGGAAGCCTGACTGAGGTCACCTGTCATATTGACATCTTCCTTGTCCTCTGTAAGGTTTCTCACTATTAAAAAAAGTTTTTAGGTTGATTTGATAGCACTGAATGACTCTACCCAAAATTATACTCAGTATTATTACCCACGGAAGCTTGGTCTTTTAGGGTGCTTTCAGATTTATGATTTTAGGTCAGTTGTTACAGTTCCTTTTCTTATAATACCCTGTTTACATATAGATAGATAGATAGATAGATAGATAGATAGATAGATATACACACACACACATTGGGAAGGACTACATTTTATAACCCTCAAGTCCTTTTGCATAATAAAAAGTAAGACTATACCGTGTAGGCTTTCAAAGCTTTGTACTTCTCACGCCTAACCCCCACTGATAATTAGGTGATAAATGCCAAGTATGATTGCCATCTTAAATTTTCCAAAAGAATCCTTCATAACTATTCAGTGTATGTTTTATTTCCCCAGATATTAAAACGAAATAAATGTATACTGTGTCTTGCGGCTGTTGACATTAAATTAATAATGATATTTCAAGGAAATTTGAGTCCTTAAACAGGCAGATTTGTTCACTGGTGATAGCAGAGTACAGGAAGTTTTTTTAAAATCAGATATATTAAAGTATAATTCACATTCAATCTGATTCACTCTTTTTAGGTGGAAAGTTTGATGGGATAGCCAGATTATGTTTCTTTTTTCCTTAATTATGTGCTGATTTGACTAACCTCCTACACCCCCACCATGAAAGCCTAGACCAAATTGATGTTTCTTTTTCTGATATGCTGTATTGTTTCTCTTTTCTGCAGTGTACTAAAGGAAGTATACCAAGCCTTTAATCCAAAAGCTGTGGTTTTACAGCTGGGAGCTGATACAATAGCGGGGGATCCCATGTGCTCCTTTAACATGACTCCAGTGGGAATTGGAAAGTGTCTTAAATACATCCTTCAGTGGCAGTTGGCAACACTCATTTTAGGAGGAGGTGAGTACAAAAGAAGGTCACCAGGAGCATTTGTTGACCTTGGCCACAATTTGTCTGTTGGCACTAAGTTGACCTTAGATTGGATAATCCCAACCTGTCTGTGGCCCAGAAGCCCGAGGCAGAGAACTGTGCCACGACCACAGTTCAGCCCTCCTCAGCTTGGCATGTGCATCAACTGCCTGGTACCCTGAAGTCCATTTCATGTCCTGCAGTAAAGATCTTTGGCTAAAGGTTACCTCAAGGGCTGAGGTTTAGCTCAGTAGTAGAATGCTTGCCTAGCATGTTCTAGTCCCTGAGTTCTGTCCTAGCACTGCCAAAAAAACCCCAACCAAAACAAAGTAAAAAACATGTTACCTCTGAACATAAGTATAGAGAGTATTAATTCCAGTAGACCTGATCCATCTACTTTCAGTGAAGTCTTTGATTCTTAATTCTCATAGTCATCTTAAGAAAACATACCACTAAAATTCTAACTCTACACATGTATCTGTAGTAAATATATGAATTAACTTAATACCCAGGCTGAATTCAAGAATGACTCCCCAGAAAGCATGACTTTGCTATAATGAAGCAACACTAAGAGATCCAAAGAGTTTCATAGGTACGTATTCTTACCTTTCACAGTTACTGATACTTGCATTACTTAACCAGCAGAAAACTGAGGCCTGTATATATCTGAGAAGGAAACTTTCATAACCTCAACCACCTTGGAAAGTGCCTTACTTAGGTTCTTCTGTATCCCTCCATGGCAAAATCTTTTTGTCACTGGACAAATGTATGTTAAAATAACATGATCAAGCAGACTGAGTTTAAAATGTACATATTCTGAACAAGCTAATAGTTTATTGTTTTGTCAACCTACTGTTAAAACCAAAGTAGAGGAAAGAAATGCTGGGGAGGTCTTATGTAAATAAGTGAGCATCAGGGCCAGGGATGTAGCTCAGCAGCACAATGCCTGCCTGGCAAGGGCGAGGTCCTGAGTTCAGTTCTTGGTTCAAAAAAAAAAAAAGTAAGCATCAGCATAAATATACAAACTTGGTCCTTTGGCAGCCTCAAATCCCGGTGGGGGGGGTGTCAAAATTTAAAGTGCTTATAAGAGACAACATTTTATGAAAAGGTGGCAAGAAATATATTAACTTCAATTGAAGAAAAAGATAAAATTGATAAATACCATGTGACATATTACTTTCCTTGATGCCACTAAGGATGGTGATGATGATACAGTTCTAGCTAGGGAGAAGACTTTTCTACAACTTGTATCTGTGAGAATTTAACTTTTGCCTGAGGCTCTAGCCTTTACTCAGCAAGCCTATTTTGCTTCTAAATCCCTTTTGCTTTCTCAGGATAAAGTTTTGACTTTTGAATATGTGAATATAACTCCTCTTATGCAATATGTATATTCCTAAAAATGTCTGTAAATAAATGAAATTTTTGCAAATCAGATCATATTACAGGTACACCAGAGACAGCTTACTACTTAAGCAAAACCTGTAGTGATTCTTTTTGAAATTAAATAATCATGCCAAGTAAGTCTGTATTACAAATTCAATTTTTTCCATATCAAGGATGTTTAAAATAACATCTATACTATTTAACTGAAATTCACTGATCTTAGCAACACACAGACAATTAGTAAAGACAGCCACACCCCTGTTTCAGTGGACCCTTTTGAGGCCTGAAAGACACATTCCAGAAGCCCCAGAAGGGAGCTGGGAATTTAGCTCAGCGGCACAGCGCCTGCCTGGCAAACGCAAGGTTTTGAGTTCGATTCCCAGTACCGGAGAAAAACAAAACAAAACAGAAGCCCCAGAAGCCCTAACCTTTCAAATAGTAGAAAGGCTTAAGAAAAAGGTGATTATATGTCCTAGTTTATACACATTATCTTAGTGTAATGATTAATAGCATCCTCTTTTACTCTTAAAAGTATGTTGTATTTAAAAAAAGTATGTCATATCATTTATATTGTAACCCTACCTAAAATAGGCCAGATTCTATTTCCTTTAGGCTGCATTGGGATTAGGAAATCATTCCATTTACCCTCATACTCTTGGAATTTAGCTAACGGCCAATGTTCTAAGCCTGCATGCAGAGTGTATCTATTCAGCCTGGAAATATGCTGATTATTAGCCAGTGTGATACGGCTGCTAGATGACTGTGGCAGGACCTGATGAGATGGGTCAGAGTGTCAATCAGTGGGCCCCTTTCTCACCTCTCTCTGATCTCTGCCACAGGGCCTGTATTTTGTGGTGAAAAGGAATGCTGATATTAAAGGAAGGAAGTCTGTTTCTGTCAGCACTTTCCTTTTCTCCTGGCTGGATGCTTTTAGGGCTAGATCTGCCAGTAGCTTTAACATATAATCACATCCAACAGTCATTTTATAGATTTGTTGCAAAACTCATCATGGGAACCTTCCTACTGGGTTGTCACCTCCAGAGATCCTGACTCCAGGGATCTCAGTCTTTCTGATGTCTTCTGATGGAAGTGAGAAGCTTGGATTCCTGGGGTGCACATTTGTTGGGAGATGGGAGCCTCTTTCATCTTCATTGTCCTTGGAATTCCTAGTTCTATACTATGGGCCCCCAAAGTATGCCCACTGGGTGGTTTGCAAAGATCATAAAGGGATATTTGGGTGAAATTCTACAAGTTGGAGTTGTCTTTTTAGCCTTTTTTATTAAAACATTTTTCTCTTGCCTCTCCCCTCCTTCCCTCTGCTGCTGTTTTGTGACTATTCTCTCCTAACTTCACAATTCTTGATGGAGATAGGAGGCTATAACCTTGCCAACACAGCTCGCTGCTGGACATACTTGACCGGGGTCATCCTAGGGAAAACACTATCCTCTGAGATCCCAGATCATGAGGTAAGTAAGGTTCTGACAAGTCCTCTCTTCTTTAAGGGGAAGAGCTGAGTCATTCCACCTAATCAAAATCACGTCCTCACCACTCAATACTGTTTTGTTGAGAGACACTTCAACAACAATAACATACTGTCTTGGCAGAATAGTGGACTCTTGTTCCAAAATATCCAAGACCTTCTGCCTTTTTTTTTCTTTTACAAAAGTTCTCAAAGGCCAACCAACTTTAATTTCTCTATTAATTACAGAGACTGTGGGAAGGGGTCACCTGTTCACACAAAGAACGCTTTGGAATATGTGCATATTCTCATCCCCTAACCTCAGAAAGAAAGGGGCTAGTTTTTAAATGTGTAAGCTAGGTTGTCATCTTTTTTAAGAGATCTCATAGGTGGTACAGCACATGTCCTCTGGTAGCAGTGCTGATCTGTCAATTTTCTTTGACTAATGTAAAAGTCAAGAAACATATACTCACTAACAAAATCAGGTCTGGTGTTTTTCCAGCAATTAGTACATGCAGGGATTGGAGCAGGACCATCCAAAGTATAAAATGTGTCACTTGAACCCTTGCCATTTTTTTTAGTCATATGAGATGAGCTTTAGAAAACAAAGGTATCTGTTCTAATTGTCCTAAAGCAAGGGGATGGAAAGCTGTCGGGAATCTGAGTGTGCTGATAATCACTCATCCCAAGGTATACCCTTCTACTCCCACCATCCCTCGCCTTGGCAGGAATCATGTTATCACAGATCAGGATGCTGCCACAGATCTTAGACTGTGTGCGTTAAAATAACAGACCGGTACATGCAGCCCCACCTTCTCAAGCTATTTCCCAAGAATAAGCAATATTGCTTTGGTTATAATATTATGATTTCTGCCAGATATAGCAGCTGTTTACTTGGGAACATTATGTTTTTTAAAGTTACTATTATTTTTTAAAAATTAGAAACAACTTATACTAATTCCCTCCCAATTTTCTTCTAACCTTTAATGAGATAAAATATGTACCTCAAAAAGGCCATTCAATATGTCTAAAATACAAATAGAAGGCATACTATAATCTGAGACAATTTGCTGGTGTTAGGGTTAATAGAAGTTTCTTTTCTTGACTTACCTTTATTCAATGTTTGGAAACTTAATGAAATATACAAGTGCGGTGGATAAATGTAACTGCTGTTATTGCTGTGGGAATATCTCAGACTGAATTATAATTTAAAGCACTGGGACTTTAAAAACTGATCAACTTATGTCAGAAAGGACTTTTCAGCCCTAGAAGTCTGAATTGAGAGTGAGTGTTCTGTTCTTGGGTAGCAAAAGATTCATCTCTGTTCGAAGATTGATAAAATTTTAATAAATATGAATATTACCTCTGGTACCTGGAAAGTTATGTGCCTGAACAGATGTAAGCTTGACCTTTGAGATGTTCTGTCTTTATACAAACTTACTCTGCAGGACTAGATGAGATGTAATGTGTACCAAGTGCCTGACACATACTTCCTGGCGCCTAATAGACATTTTAGGAAGGCAAGTTCTTTCTTTTCCCTTTGCATGCTCCTTACTTCTCTTACCCAGACATTTATGACTATGTCATTCATAAATTTGTCCAAAGCCTTTGTGAATCCCTTCTGTCATATCCTTCTGGTATAAGATATGAGTCATCCAAGAAGGAACAAAGAAGAAAATTGAGATGACAGTCTTCCAGGTACAATAAGATAACATTTTAATGAAAACTGCCAAAAATAGACTGCCTGTTATAAAGGCATATATAAGTTTTGTGTCACAATACAAAGTTGCACACAAATATCCTAGTACTCATCTGTAATCAGATTTTTAAGGGCATATCAAAAAATGTTTCCTGCATACCCATTGTATGCCAGGAACTATGCTAAATGTCTTGGAAGATGCAAAGACAGCAAGACTTTTTCCCCTACCTCAAGCAGCTGGCGCAAGTATGGGGACTTAGGCTAATGCCCAGGTGGTTCTAATACAGAGCGGGATCAGAACCGTAAAATAGTAGGAACTGTGACTATGGAGATGTACATCTAATATGAAGGGAATGCAAAGGAGTACAAAAAATGCCCAGCCCTCCAGGAACTAAGAATGTACCTAAGAAATCTGGCAAAAGGCAAGGTCAGTGGGTGGTAGCCTGGCTGACCTCCTTACCACCTCTGCTCTCAGTTTTGAGCTTTCCTCCTTCCATCTCATAGAATAATAATCTACCTCCTCCAAATGTTCTATTGTCTTCCTAGGTCCAGTTTAAAGGCTTCTGCCTTTCAAAAACTCTGACCTGTATCTACCACACCTCTTTGAGCTCTTCTTCACATTCAGATATTCCTTCATTCATTTAACAAATACTTATTTGGCTCCTACTTCTTGACAGACCTTATTCAGATCTGGATTTAGAAATACAAAGACTAATAAGATAAACCCAGTACCCTCAAAAATCTCACCATCTAATAAAGGCAACAGAGCAATGTGCTCAAATCCAGGGCAGATTAGCTGCATAAGGGAAGTATTTTGACAAAATTTTGAATTGAATCTGGAAATTGGTAGTCTGCTAGGCAAAGAAAGGGGGAAAGGCATTCTAGGGAGAGGAAACAGTGGTTGGAAAGGACCAGTGAGACGTGTGTTGTGTGTAAAACATAAGGTATATGAGAGACATTAGGAAAGATTAAGACCTGAATGGAAATCAAGGCCACACTATGAAGAGCCTTGAATGCTGCACTAATGAAAGCAGCACTTTATGCTTTTTTCCTATGAAACAGATGAACTTTCATTTTTAGAAAATTCATTTGGTAGAAAGTAGAAGATAGACTGCAAAGGGGAGAGACTTGAAAAGGCAGAGCTGGTAAGAGGTTCAAATGTAATTCCATAACATTTATAGTCTTTGGAGGTTGGGTAGCCCTTATCCAAAATGCCTGGAACCAGAAGTATTGTAGATTTTGGGCTTTTTCTTTCTCAATAGTTTGAAGTAATTGTCTGTATATAATAAGATCTTGAGGTTGGAACCTGATCCTAAACACCAAATTCATTTACATTTCTTGTACACCTTGTACATACAGGCTGATGATAATTTTACACAATATTTTTAATTTATGCATGAAACAAAGTAAGGTATGGAATTTTCCACTTGTCAGGTCAGCTGTATAAATTTTTGGATTTGGAAGCATTTCCCACTTCAGATTTTTAGATTAGAGATGCTTATCCTGTACTATTCTTTTGATCATCCACAATTTGGTTGTCTCCACATTCCTTCTTTGTGCATAACAGAATGTTAAGCACCCACATAGCCAGTGTTCTTTCATTGAATGAACAACGAAATAAATGAGTGTTCAAATAATATGCATTAACATTCACACTGAGATGGAAGAATTGGAAAGGTAATATAGTCTTTATCTGAGAACACAATTTAACCCTACTAAGCAGCAACTTCCTATCCTTTGCAAGTAGTACCGGCTATAGGACAGGTACATCCATGGGAAAGCACCAGATTTCCATTCAGGGAAAGGGGCTTAGAAGGGAAATCCAACACAGATGTTAGAAGTAAACAGGAGTCTGAGCCAGGCATGGTGGCACACACCTGTAATCCCAGCACTCAAGAGTCTGAGGCAGGAGCACAGCAACTTTCGAGGCCAGCCTAGGCTACATAGTGAATTCAAGGTTAGCCTGAACTACATAGTGAGACCCTGTCTCAAAACAAAACAAACGAGAAAAGAAGTAAGTAGGAATGAGACTTCAAGCACAGCCCTCATGAGATACAAAACTCATAATACTATAAAAGCCAATGGTGCCATAAAGCCAGTGATCAGGGAGTTATTCTCAGCCCAGGAACTGGGAATTGAGATTGGCCAGCCAAACATGGAATGGAGAGTCATTTTCAGCTGGAGGAAGAGCTTTGAGCCCATCTGGCATAGCCTGGAGCCTGTGTGTATGATTGGCCCTGGTATCTCTACCATAAGGAAAGCCCAAGCATGACATGGACCCATAAAAAGCCCAGTATATGGCTAATTAGCACAGTCACCTGGACTGTTAGGTGTAAGAATGTTCTGTAGTCCAATACTATTTAAGTCTCATAATCTAGGACACAGTAAGGCAGTTGCATATATATATTGTGTATTTCTAAACCAAACAACCAAAATCTAAAATGCTCTGAAATCTGAAATTCTTTGAGCACCACATAATATTCATTGTCATCAGGTAGCTTTACTAACAATAAATACTTATTCTACTTAACCAGACTGCTTTTGAGGGACTGATTGGGTAAACTATACCTCCTTCACATTAGGAAATATACATAGCCATAAAAATGAACTAAGTCAATATATATGCAAAGTATCTGTAAGTAGATGTCTTGCAGTGCAATCTATATAAATTTACTTGGGAGGAATAAAATCTTAGCAGTATTTAATCTTCCAATCCATGAATTTACTGTATCTTTCTGTTTACTTAATTTCAAATTTTATCTTAAACTTCAGTAAACAGGTCTTGCATGGGTTTTGTTAAATTTATCCATAAGTATATCATGATTTTGATTATTTTGTACATAGTATTTCTTAAAACAATTTCTGTTCGTTGCCAGCATATAGAAATATAATTGACTATTGACCTTGAATGATGTAGCCTATGTAGCTAAACTCACTAGTTCTACTTTCTTTGTAAATTATTTAGCGTGTTCCATTTATACAGACATGTCATGTATGGATAAGGAGTTTTAATTCTTCCTGTATAATCTTCATGCCTTTTATTTCTTTTTCTTACCTTATTGCACTGATTGTGACCACTGGTTGGGACCACCAGTGCAATGCTGAGTAGAAGTGATGAGTGAATATCATTGTCTTGCTCCCAATCATAGGGGAAACCACTTAAATCTTTCATTGTCAAATGTGCTGTTAGCCATATTTTCCTTTGTTTTTAAAAGTATCCTTTGTTAGGTAAAGAAAGTTCCCTCATATTCTAATTTTCTGAAAGTTTTTTCTCACAAATGAGTTTTGAATTTTGTCAAATGCTTTTTCACTGGCTATTGAAATAATTGTATTTTATCCCTTATGTTAGTACGGTAAATTCAACTGATTCTTTTGTGTGTTGAAATAACTTTGCATTCCTGGGATAAGCCCTAATTGGTTATGTTACATTTTTATGCTTACTATACATTGCTGGATTCAGTTTGCTGAAATTTGTTCAATGGTTATTGTGTCTTATGTGGATGATGGATACTGGCCTGTTATTTTCTTTCTTGTAATGTCCTTGCTTTGATGGCAGGGCAATGGGGATATTATAAAATTATTTGGGAAGTATCACCTCCTCTTCTGTTTCCTTAAAGAGCTTATATAAAATTGGTTCTATGTCTTCCTAAAATGTTTAATAGAATTCACCAATGAAAACATTTAACTCTGGAATTTTCTGTTTTGTATTTTATTAATTCAATTTCTTTAATAGTTATAAGGCTACTTAGATTTACTATTGTCTCTTGATCCCATTTTGGTAATTTGTCTTTCAGGGAATTTGCCCACTTACTCATATTCCCTTATTATTGTTTTAAATTTCTATAAGATCCAATATCCTTTCTTTCATTCCTGATATTAATGATTTTTTTCTTAATTGTTTTACCTAGTGATTTATCGATTTTATTAAAGTATTTTTTTCAAAGAACCAGTTTTTAGTTTCATTGACTTCATTTTCCTTTTCTATATTTATTTGTGGTCCTATCTTTGTTATTTCCTTCCTTTTGCTTACTGTATGTTGTTTTTAGTACCTTTTATAGTTTCTTATAATAGAAAATTACTTAACATATTCTTAAACATTTTTCTTTTCTAATGTATCCATTTTAAGCTATAAATTTTCATTAAGCACTGCTTTAGCTGCATCTTACAAATTCTAACATGTTGTTTTCACTTTCCTTTGATTCAAAACATTTCCTTATTTGACAGGTGGTTTATTTAGAAATGTAGGGTTAAGCTGGGCCTAATGGCTCATGCCTATAATCTCAGCACTTTAGACGGCTGAGGGAAGAGGATCGCAAGTTGTAGCCTTGCTTAGACAGTTTAGTGATTTAAAGAGACCCTGTCTCAAAATATAAAACAAAGAAGGGCTGGGGATGTAGCTCAGTATAAATGTCTTGGGTTCAATCCCAGTACCACAATCTATCAATCAATCAATTTAATAAATGTAGGGTTTTTAAAAATTAATTTTCAGAGCTGGGGACATAGCTCAGTGATAGAGTATGTATCTACCATCCATGCTTAAGGCCCTGGATTCAATCCCCAGCACTGCCAAAAATTTAATTTTCAAATATTGAAGGACTTTCATATATTTTTCTGTTATTTATTTTGCTTTTAATTTGTTTTCTTTGTGCTCAAAGAATATAGTCTGCATGGTTTCAGTCTTTTTTATGTTCATTGAAATTTTGATGGCCCACCACTAATTTATCTTAGTGAATGTTTAATATGCAATTTGCAAAGAATGTGTAGCCTACTGTTATTTTCTATTATTATCAATTACATCAGGTTGGTTCAGCATGTTGTTTACACCTTCTATATCCCCTCCTTGTTTTCTATCTATTTGCTCTGTCAGTTCCCCAGAGTTGAAGTCTCCAACCATGACTTTGGATTTAACTATTTTACTTTTCAGTTTATCAGTTTAAGTTTCTTACATTTTTTAAGCTTTCTTATGAGATGCATACACATTTATAGTTGTTATATCTTCTTGATGAATTGATCCCTTTATTATTATGAGATAGCCATCTTTATCTCTGGTTACATTCCTTGTTCTGAAGTTTACTTTGTCCAGTTTTAATATTTGCCACACAAATTTCCTTATGATTGCTGTGTGTGTAGTACATCTTTTTCCCTTCTTTTACTGTTAGCCTATTTGAAACTATAAATTTCTGCCTACGTAAAGAGAATTTCTTTGGGGGGCACCAGCAATCAAATTCAGGACCTCACACTTGCCAGGCAGGCACTGCCCCACTGTGCTAAATCCCTGGCCCAGGATTTCTTATAGACACCATTTAGTTGGATCATGCTTTCTTATCCAGCATGACAATCTCTGCCTTTTATTTGAAGTATTTAGAACATCTGTGTTTAAAGATATTATTTACATCTGTCTTCCTATTGCTTTTCTGTCTCATCCATTCTTTATTTCTTTTTCTTTTCCTGTCTTTTTCAAATTAAACATGTTTGTTTGTTTGTTCTTTGTGCTGCTGGAAATTGAATCCAGAGCCTCATTCATGCTAGACAAGAGCTCTACCACTGAGCTCTAGGCCCCAAATTAATATTATTTTAGGATCCTATTTTAGCTCTTTATTTGCCTATTAGCTGGAACTCTTTGTTTTTTGTGGTTGTTCTGGGGTTTACATCATATATTTCTAACTCAATATCTACTTTCAAATAGTATTACATTACTTAATATATAATTTAGTACCTTTACAGCAGTTCCTTCATTTCTCCCTTTTCTCTTCCTTTCTGCTATTACAGTTGTACAGTTGTCTAGTTATAGTTGTACTTTTACATATGTTATAAACCCCTTGATATTTTATTAATATTTTGTTTTAGTCAATTATGTTTTTGTTTTAAACTATTTAGTATTTCATTTAAGGATAATAAATCCAGTACATATTAGAACAAATAATATGTTTGATTAAAAAATAAGTGTTCTGGGGGCTGGGGATTTAGCTCAGTGGCATAGCGCCTGCCTGGCAAGCGCAAGGTTGTGAGTTGGATTCCCGGTACCGGAAAAAAAACAAAGAAAAAAAGAAAATAAGTGTTCTAAGATAAAAATAAATCTCATGAAAATGTGACATTTCCATATACTTCTTTTGTTCATCTCTTTATTGTCTAGCTTAGTAGATGACAGCTGAATTCTCATACCTGTTTCTACATTCAATGTTTTTGATATGTTGTTTTTGTTAAAATATGTGCAGAAAATCCAGCTTCACACAGACACATAGCTGGAAAAAGGAGTATTTTAATAACCTTTTTATACAATTATATATATTCTTCTTTGATACTATACCAAAACTCTAAAATGATAGTTTTGTAAAGGTTAATGTAGTATGGAATCTGAAACTCTATCGGTGAACTTTCAGCATACTGTTAAATTAAAATTCATTAGTGATCTTGTACTTTGAATACATATTTGAACCATCTTATACATATTGACTATTTGGAAAATATTCTGACACATTTTATGCACTATCAAAATATCACATTGATATCATTACTGATACCACTGGAAAAAAGCTTAAGTATTGGGAAACTGTCAGGCTCACAGGGGCAGAATGAAGTTTTCACTCAGAAAACATGAGTATTATCCTTGGCAACAAATACCATCAGTTGTTTATCCTGAAGTGATAGGGTCACTTCATTTTTCGAGAAAAACATTTACCATATATCCTAATATTTAATTATGGTTTATCTGTCAGTTATTGTTTTTTAATCAGTTATTTTCAATATCATTTTATTACTACATGTTTGCAGTACGTAGTGACTGCATTCCTTATAGGGAGTTGATACGTCTACATAACACATCTTAATTCTTTTTTCATCCCCTTCCCCTCTTCTCCCTCCTCCTTCCCTCTGTCTATTGGTCAGTCCCCTTCTCACCAGTTGTTCTTTCAAGCAAAAATAGTATTCCATGAAAAATGTGGCCACTTTGGCTCACAACTTAATCACAGATGTGCTTTGTTTTGATAACCACAAAAGTACAGTTTGTAACACAAATACTTGATGCATACCTCCTATTTTGTCACACAGAATATTAAATCGAGCATCAAATTTTAATAAAATGAATGATTTGTACCCTGGTGCCAGCAGTTTTCCTCACCATTGCTTTTGCACCTATATATTTTGTTTACATGCAAATATAAACAAAGTTATAGTATTTCCAAGTATAAACTATGAAATTTAAACAAGTAGTCAGCACTGAATATTTTAACACTGTGTGGTTTGGTTGCCAACCATTCACATAAAAGGTCTTCAAAGACTAATTAGTGATGATACAGTATGATTACAAGCAAAACAGCAGATCCAGCTACATTGTAGATTTGTCTGTTTATAAGGTGAGAACATAATTCAGAAAATGACATGTTAACTAAATCTTCATTTTTTTATAGCTAAATCTTTAAATAAAGAAGTCACTGTGCCATTAAGAAAACGGAGTGCTGTGTGTTACTTTACTAACTTTTCTTGCAAAAGACAGTGAACAGTGTCTCCAAGATATTGTGTGCATTCCTCCAGGCAGTGCAGTACAATAACTTACCCATAGGATGCATCCATGGCTGTTTCATTTCTGGTTTGAAAAGCTGTAACAAACAAATAGCTTATATGTCTACACTTAAAATATTCAATTCCTTTTCCTATAACTATAAGTGAAAAGTCTTAAAATGATGCTACAACTCAAATGATGAATTATTTTGAAGCTATCCAAAAATGTTCCATTGCATGAGGCACTATAAGGTAAATGTAATGACATATAAAAAGGTAGTCATATTTTCATTTATTTATAAAGTGAATCTCTTCCTGTCATGAATCAATTGATGCTTTAGTTTCATTTTTTGCTACTTCTATAAAAATAGGTGTTGCAGCCTTGATTTGAGAAAGTAAGACTTTTAATTTTCCCTTGCTAAGCCAATAATCAGTACAATGGGGCAACAATTGTTTATAACAATTTATTAAGTGTTTTGTAAAAACAACTAAGACGAGTTTGAAATTCACAACAAAAATGATAAATAGTTAAGGAGAGTAAAATGCTAGTTGCCCTTATTTGATCATTATACATTGTATACATATATCAGATGATGACACTGTGTCACATAAGTATGTACATTTTTTCATCTTTTTTTTTTTCTTTTTGAGACAGGGTCTTGCTATGTAGTGAGGCTGGCCCTGAACTCACTTTGTAGACCAGGCTGGCTTCAAACTGAAGGCAGTCCTCCTGCCTCAGCCTTTCAGGTGCTGGGATTACAGGCCTGTGCCACTGCGCTCGGCCTGTAAACTTTTTTTGAGACAGGGTGTCACTATGTACGTTAGGCTGACCTTGAACTCATGGTGATCCTCCTGCCTCAGCCTCCCAAGTGCTGAGATTACAGGCATGTGCCACCACACCCAGCTGTGTATAATTATTATATAACATTTTTCAATATATACCGTATATAAACAGTAATCAAAAGAAAACATGGGTGTCCTTTTTTTTTTCAAAAGCTGAACCTATTCTTACCATATAATCCAGAAAGTGCATTCCTGGGCATTGTTCCCAGAGAAATGAAAGCTTACATCTACACAACTATACAGAAATGTATTCACTTTAATAGCTAGAATTGGAAACAACCCCAAAGTCCTTCAATGTATAAATAGTTAAACAAATTATGTTACATCTGTACTATAAAATACTATTCAAAAATAAAAAAAGAATGAACTACTGATGCATGGAACAATTTTGATGGATCTAAAGAGAATTTATGCTAAATGAAAAAAAAATTCTCAAAAGGCCACATAATACATAATTCCATTTATATCATGTCTAAATGAAAAAAATCAGAGCAGTGTAGAATAGATCAGGGAGTTCCAAAAATTAGAGACAAGCTCAGGGAAGAAGGCCTCTGTGGTATACCACTGTAACACAAAGGAAATCTTTGTAGTGATGGTTCATTTCGGTACCCTCACTATGGTGATGATTACATCAATCTATACGTATGAGAAAACTGCACAAGCCTTAGGGGCTGGGGATTTAGCTCAGCAGCAAAAGCGCCTGCCTGGCAAGCGCAAGGTCATGAGTTTGGTTCCCGGTACCGGAGAAAAACCAAAAAAACAAGAAAAACTGCATAAGCCTAAATATATATATACCCTTTTTTTCCAAATTCCTATATCATTATATTTGGACTTTTTTTTATAATGGGGAAATCAAACTGAGGGTCTCAGTCATGCTAGATAAGTGATCTACCAGTGAGCTACACCCCAGCCTTATCATCATATGTGAACTGAGTTTCTTATACACAGAATATAATTGTCATGTTCTTTTTTTAAATTTATTCTGCCAATTCTGTTTTTAATCTGCTTTTAGACTATTTATTTATTTAGGTTTTTTGATTCAGGGTCTTGCTTTGTAGTTCAGGCTAGCCTTGAACTGACTCACACTCACAGTAATGCTCTTGCCTCAGCCTCCCGAGTGCTGGGATTAGAAGTGTCCAACACCATGCCCAGTTTAGACCATCTATTTTTAATGTAGTTCTTGAAATGGTGGGGCTTAAATTTGCCATTTTATATTTGTTTTCCATTTCTTCCTCTTGCCTTCATGTGAGTTATTTGAATTTCTTTTAAACTTCATTTATCTATTTTTGAGTATATCAATTTGTATAGGTTTTTTGGTGGTTGCTTTAAGTATTAGGTTATACACATGTATAACTTATCGCATTCTACTGGTACAAACATTTAACTACTTTGAGTAAAGAAATCTTACCTCCCTTTATGTTCCTTTACCCTTTATAAGGTATGTTAAATATTTCCTGGACATTCACAGAGAACCACATCATATAGTTTTTCTTTCAATCATCAAAGAGAATTTTAGAGAACTGAAGAACACAAGAAAAGTCGGTTGTATTTACCTATATTTTTTACTTTTTGTTGTGTTTTCTTCCTTTCAGATGCTCTAATATTGTTCAATCATTTCCTTTCTATTTATAGAAATTGCCATTTGTTTAGAGTAGGCTACTGAAAAGTTCTCTTTGTTTTGATTCATCTGAGTGTCTCAATTTCCCTTTCTCTCTTGAAGGGTATTTTCACTGGGTATAGAATTCTGGATTGATAGTTTTTTCTTTCAGCACTTAAAAAATGTCTCTCCTTTCTGGTCTCTGTGGTTTCTGAGGAGAAAACCATTGTCATTCAAATTATTATTCCCATATGAGTAATTTATCATTTCTCTCTAGCTGTTCTCAAGAATTTTTTTGTCTATTTTTGTAATATCACCTTTTCTTTTTCTCCTCCGTGACTCTGATGACATGAATATTTAATCTTTTTTCTTGTCCCATAGGACCGTGAAACTCTGTTTTTTTCTTTTTCAGTCTGTTTTATCTCTGCCATCTCAATTCTTCTATTTAGCCCATTCAGTAAGATTTTTTTTGCTTATTATATTTTTCAGTTCTAAAAGTTCCATTGGATTATTTATTATGTTTTCTGTTTCTCTGCTAGTACTTTCTAATTTTTTCATTTGGTTTCTAGTGTGTTTGTAATTGCTCATTGAAACATTTTTATGATGACTGCCTTAAAGTTGTTATCAGATCATTTTAGCATATGTATCATCTTGGTATTGACATTTGTTGATTATTTTTTCTCATTTAAAATGAAATAGTTGTGATTACTCGTGGAATGTGTGAATTTTTCTTGGACCTTAAAGTTTGAGATCTCATAAGACTGGCAACCCTAAAACCTGTGTTCTGACTTCTCACTCAGTGTGGTTCCCTTATTTCAAAAGCTGGTTTCCCTCTGTTTCTATCTGATTTGGGTTATTCTCTATTACAGTGAATCATAATAGCTAGTCTGGTAGACCTAGTCCACCATTATCAGAAGTCAGAAGGAAAGACTTATTATTCATTATATACCTTTTGGTACCTTTTTGTGGTATTTTTTTAAGACGGTCTCAGTATGTAGCCCAAGCTGGCCACAAACTTGCAATTCTCCTGCTTCAGCCTCCTAAGCACTGGGATTATAGGCATGTGCCACTACACCTGACCCCTCTGGTACCTTCTGAAGTTTTTACCATGAAAACAAATGTTTGTAATCAACACCTAAAACATTACATAAATGTATTTATCAGATAGACCTACTTTCATTGATCAGCTCAGGGAGGGATCATAGTAACACTATATACTACACAAATTGAGTAATTATTTAATCGTTCTATGTCTTAGTTTTCTCACCTATAAAATGGAGATTAATGTGAAGATTAAATATGCTCGGCAGGGGCTGGGGTGTAGCTCAGCGGCACAGTGCCTGACCGGCAAGTGCAGGGTCGTGAGTTTGATCCCCGGTACCGGAAAAAAACCCAAAAAATCAACATAAATATGCTGGGCAAAGTAAAATGTTGAGAATAGTGGCTGGCATACAGTAAGCACTCAGTAAATTTTAGGTGTTATTGTTAGTAAGTGTTAATAAAACTCCTCATTGTCAAACATCTCTTTCATCTTGTTCGTTAATGCTGAGACTGTGGTACTCAGTGAGTGCCTAAAAAAGCAACTTTCACAGTGTTGTATTGGGTGCTTTGTAGGTTTAGCCTAACAGCCCTTTTGTGAACTCTTAGCTCATGGAATTAAACATTCAAAGCATGTCTACATGGAATGTTATCATCTTCTGTGAGTAAAGGTATGAGTGAAGACAAATACTAAAGACTGTACATTCAAGTTTTATATAAATAGACCTTATATAGACTTTATGTAGATAACATCACAGTGTCAGGCATTCAGCAAACTATCCTCTGATCATAAAATTATATGGGTAATTTTTAGGAACTGTTCGAAAAAGAGCTTAACAGTTGTTAAGCACTAGTTATACCCCCCAGTGTATCTATATATTAGTTTCTTTTCATATATTATCTCATATATGTTTGTTAGCAACCCTGAGAGGTGGGCATTATCCCCATTTACCAATGAGAAAACACTCAGGAAGTAACATGACCCAGATCAACTAGTAAAATAGCAGTCAGGATTCAAACTCAAATCTGTCAGATCTCTGGGCTTACCCTCTTTACTTTCAGTGTTAGTATGCAGGGTTTTGGTATAAGGAATATACGAGAGAAAAATAAACACTTCTTAAACATCTACAGTACTACTAACCAGCCAGTGTGCCACATGCATTAATTCATTTTGTTGTCAAAACATTCTCTTTTTTTGTCTTTTTTGAGACAGAGTTTTACTATGCAGCTCATGCTGGCTTTAAACTCACTTTGTAGCCCAACCTGGCTGCGAACTCGTAGTGATCCTCCTGCCTCAGCCTCCTGAGTGCTGGGATTACCCGTGTGTGCCACCGCATTCCGCCTTCAAACCATTCTTGTATTCAGTCCTCACAACCCCTCTATGAAAACAAAAAGCATTAACATTTGTTAAGCCCCTGCTGTGTGCCTCACACTTCAATAGTGCTTATATAAATTACTTCTAGTGGTCTCCTAACAGCCCAGTGAAACTGGTATTATCCTGACAAGGAGGAAGACGCTGAGCTGAGCTTTCACTGCACTTGCCTGCCCCTCCAGGACATGTATTTCTAAACATTTTACAGAGTATGCACTCATAAGACATGATTTTTTTTTCAGTCCAGAAACTCAAAAGCCTCTCCATACCAGTGGTTTTTTAATCTTTTGAGTGGTCATGGACTCCTGTGAGAATTTCATGGCTCCTCCTCCCAAATAAGGGCTTATATACACATAGTTTTGGGTACAATTTCAGAGCATCTGGCAATTTCCTAAATCACAATGAACTCTTTGTTTAAAACAAACAGAAATCTGCTCCAAAGAACAGAAGTAAATCTTAGAAAATAAGAAAGCTTATTAATACTTCATTATTGAGTTTTTAAAATCCTCTAGAACCCTAACACCTGTAATTGACCATTCCATTATGTTCTCCTAGTAGGTGGTAGCTGTGTTTCTCTTTTGGCTTTCCAGCCCCCGGCACTATTGGCATTTCTGGTGGTGTGATTCTTGGTTGTGGGGGGCACCACGCTTTATGTTATATTATAGCAGGCTGAGCAACATCCTTAGCTTCTACACACAGATGCCAGTAGCACACCCCTGCCCCCTCCCTCCACTTTCAACAACTGAGAATGCCTCCAGGCATTGTCAAGTGTCCCAGGGGCCAGGACAAAATTGCCTCCTGTTGAGAACCACTGGTTTATAGTAATTATAATTATCATTCTTGAGTTATTTGCAAGCATAAAGATCTCCTGTAAACTGTTCAACTGTATTGAGCAATATGAAAATCATCTCCAAAAACAACAAAAGAATTGAAAGTCATCTCAATAATTAAATTTCTAGGTAAACAAGTAAAGTTTTTCTTACCTAGAACACTAAAAAGGAAGTTTGTATAACTCCCTGCTCTATTGACTGATTGACCTAACAAAATCCAGTGAGGAAGGCAGGGTAAAGACCAAGTAAAAATTAAGGTGAAAAATTAAAAACTGTAATAATGCTATGAAGGAAATGCACAGAGCAGAGACAGAGACAAAGGGATTTAGACAGGGTTACTATGTAGGCTTCTCTGATCACGTAACATTTAAGGCCAGAACTTGAAGGCTGAGAGTCAGCCAGGTTAAAAAACAAGAACAACAACTAACTAGAGAGCACATGTTTCAGGCAAAGTAGGCAACCATAAATAGAGATGCAGATGCAAGAAGGAACTTGGTATCCTCTTCGTATAGAAAGGAGGCCACTGAGACTGGGGATAGCAGGTGTGGAACAAGAGGGATGAGATAGAATGGGCAGAGATCAGGCCCTGTAGGCTCTGTAGGCCACGGGGAAGAGGTGGGACTCATTCTGAATACATTGAGAAGGCACTGAAAGCTTTTAATAGGGGATGTATGTCATGATTTAATGTACATTTTCAAACTACTCTGGCCACTGTATGGGGGGTGGAACTACCAGGGGGCAAGGATGGAAGTATGGGGACCAGTTAGGTTGATGCCAGTTGACAGACAGTAGTGGCGGCAGTGGAGATGGGAAGAATGCTTTATTCTTGTTGTAAATTGACATATATGCTGATGAATTAGATGTAGATGGTGAAGAAGAGAGTGGAATCAAGGTTTCTTACTTGAACAATTAATGGACATGAGTGATTTATTGAAAGGGGAAAGAAAGACTAGCTTGGTAAAAGAGGAAGAGATGTTTCTTTCTTGGTCAGTTGAGCCACAAATTTATATACATAATGGTCATTCGGTGACAACAGCAGTCATTCAGTTGAACAAAGATTTATTAGCCACCAGCTGTATGCTAGACACTGTGGTAAGTGCTGAGGGTCAAAGAAGTAACAGACATGTCCTTTTGCTCAAAGAGCTTACAGACCAGTAGAACAGACAGATATAAACAGCTTTAATTATCTGTGTCCAGTGCTAAGTTAGAGATATATGAAGAGTCTATAATATCACAGAAAAGAGCCAGTTAGTCTGACAGCTTAGGACAGGGGCTGGGGGTCAGGGAAGGTATCCTGAAATTGATGTCTAAGATGAGTATTAGCCAGGCAAGTGTGTGCCACATAGAAAGTAAAGGAAACAGTAATAGAAAAGCACAGAGCAGTGAAAGAGCTCTAGAAGCAATACAGTATTACTAGAACCAAACTTAAAGGCAGGGAATGATAAGAAATGAGACTAGATATTGACAATAACTGGCAATTATTGAGCACCTGTATGCCAGGCTCTGTACCAAGTGCCTTAAATGGGTAACTCATTTAATTTTCACAGTCATAATACAGATGTGGAAAGTGAAACATAGAAAGATTGGATATCTTGCCCAAAGTTACATAAGCTGAGGTTCGAACCAGGCTTTCTTTTTATTCCACAGCCTCTTTTCTTAACCATAGTAAATTTTAAGTGTCCTGTTAAAGAACTGAGAATGGACCTGTTAGCAGAACTGAGTCATGAAAAGGCAGTGACTGGTCAGATCTGTGCTAATCAGGATGACTTAAAGAGCTTCAACAGGAAATTGTTGCAATATTTCAGGCAAGTGATAAAAACGAGTTTAAAGTAGGGATAGAGACGAAGGAAAAACTTAAGAAATGTTAGGGGGTAGAATTAGCACAACTTGATTACTTGGATTCTTGGGGCAAAGGAAAGGGAGACATCTGAGATGTCACCATGTTTTCTCACTTGGGTGACTGGATGATATTACCATATAAAAATACAGGAGAAACGCTAAAAGTGTTCGTTTGTTTGTTTGAGGCAAGATCTCACTATTCAGTTCAGGTTTGGCCTTGAACTGACTGTGTAGCCCAGGCTGGCCTCCAACTCAGTGATGATCCTTCTGCCTCAGCCTCCCTCGTTCTGGGATTAAAGGTGTGCACCACTGTGTCTAGAAGTCATTTTTTATATTGTGTGCTAGGTGCCAATGGAACATCCAACTGAATCCATTTAAAATGTAATATGAGCCATGCATGGTGGAGTACGCCTGTAATCCCAGCACTCAAGAGGCTAAGACAGGAAAATAAGCAAGAGTTTGAGGCCAGCCTGGGCTACAGAGCAAGACCCTGTCTCAAAAAAACAAAAACAAAAGATGTAATAAGAGAAACTCAGGGGATATGTCTTAACTATAGTTGTGAGAATTAAGAACTTGTAGAATGTGGTTAAAATCATGAGGGTGGGTGTGATTACTCATGGAGTGTGTAAGAGTGCAACCAACTTTAAGGCTAATTAGGATATCTTGTAGAATTTCAGTATTTAAGGAACCAGCAAAATGAGCTCACAAAGGATACTCAAAAAAGCGTGTTCACAAAAATAAACAGCACAGTGCTTAACATCATGGACTCTGGGCCCAATCTGTATGAGTTTACGTTCTATAGGCTCTGCCACATACCAGCTGTGTGACTTTAGGCAAGTTACTTTTTCTCTCTAAACCTCAGCTGTTTGAGGATTAAACAGTCCATATAGAGCCCTTAGTGTAATGTTTGATAAACAGTAAGTATTAGCCAATATTTATAGGGAGAAACCCCGGGTAGGACGGTAGAACCCAGAAGATAAAAGTTTAAAAGGCAGAGAAAATGCTGAGATGTGCCAGATGCCCCAGAAAGAGTAGATCAGCCAAGGACTTACGAAGTATAAGTTAGATTTGGCAACATGGAGGCTGTTGGTGACCTTGATGAGAGGAATTTCAACAGAATAGCACAGAAAGGCAAGGCAATAGTAGTTTCGGTGATAAATACAACATAAGGACATTGGTAACAACAGGACTGGCTCTTTCAAGAAGCTTGCTATTTAGGAAAAACAATCGCAAGTAAAAAAAAGAACTATGCACAACAATGATGATTTTAGCTTCGTCTGTCATAGCAAAACATTGGAATTATCTTAACTGTCCATGAGTGACAGGATAACAGATCAGTAGGAGGTTGGAGAAACTGGTAAATGTTGGGCCAGTAGTTGAGGAAAATGAGAGAGGAAGCTGACCAGATACAAATGAAAGGATCGTGAGGAAGCCTGGAAAGTGCATCTACAGATGGAAACCATGGCTCTGTAATACTAATTCCTCCAGTGCTGTACTTTTTCTTCAGTAATGCCAGAAAAAAGAAGGCAAACTGTGGGGAAGGCACAAAAGAACTGGTAGTACCATCACTGGAACTCAAGAGTCTAAGATAGTAAAGGCAGCACGGTAGAAAGGGCACACTTGAAATCAGATAGACTGTAATTACAGATCTGATTGTACATAGTTAAATAACTTGAGGCAAATTCCTTGAGCTCTGTAAATCTCTGTTTCCTCACCTGTACAGTAAGTATAATAACACCTTGCCCACAGGAAAACTGGCACATGATCATGCTTCCACAGCTCTTGGTCCCCTTCCTTTCCATTCAAATTTTTTTTTTTTTTTTGCTTTTTTTCTGGTACTGGGAATCGAACTCATGACCTTGCGCTTGCCAGGCAGGCACTATGCCACTGAGCTAAATCCCCAGCCCCTCCATTCAGTGTTTATTGGGCTCCTAATATGGAATGTTCTTTTCTGGGAACACTGAGATAAAGGCCAATTCACTCATTTTAGGAACTCATGGCTTAGCAGAAGTAACACAAATACAAAGAAATAAATGACAATACAAAATGAATAAATTCCCATTCAGGTTGCTAAGTACAATAGTAATGGTATGTGCCATGACTAACAGTACCTGATTGAGGGAAGGCTTCCCTGAAAAGCTATTCATGCCTCAATTTTTAATTATTTATGTTGAAAGAAAGTAGCAGAAAGTGGAAAGACATCGTTTTAAAGGGTAGTGGCAATTTTTTTTGCTTTTATTTTCCTAGACAGTATTCCAAGGGGCAAGAGGTTCAAGTGAAAGTTTTATTTGTTTTAAGGAGAATGACTTACGCAGGTTGGCTAACTGAAGAAAGGATG